CAGATATGACCATTTTGCCAAGAAATGAGTGAAGCAATTACACTGTGAGGCTCGTGATCTGGAAATTCCCTGATTCTCCGTGTCAGTGTCTGCTTGAAGCTCCACTTGTGCGTCAGTCTTTAATCAGTGCGCTGCTAATTGTTCTGGACCTCTGTGATGTGTTAAACCACTTATTGCATTTATTTTTATCAGAAGTGGAATGATTTTTATACGTTTAGTCAGAACATATTCTGCTTAATCCATTTGGTCCCAGTGCTCGGCTCCGTCTAAACGCCTTCATAAAGGATAAATGCAAATATGAGCTGCTGCTTTCATCCATCAGGATACTCTTCCTCCGTCTGAATCCACAATATGTCTGTGTTTTGAGATTCATACTTCACAATTCTTCTGTGGGAATAATATCTTATTCGCAAAGTAAAACATTTATATGGATATTTACAATTCTGGAACTACTAGAACTCCCCGGTCGTGAAAATCAATGAGTTCTGAGAGATTCTCATGAATTCTCTGAGAAATATTTACCAGTTTTATCAAATGTATTTATTTTATGAAGCTTTTACCTTTACTCACTTTTAATAAGTGGTTAAACTGGTGAATACATCTGAAATACAGCAACAGTTAGTGAAAAGGTTAGTTGGCACTGCTAGCAAGTTAACGGGGCGTTGCTATGGTAACTGGCACTTGCTGAAGCCAAGCTGAACCAGAACCAGTCCAGGACCAGTCCAAGACCAAGGGGGTCGCGGGTTAGCAGGGCATTTATGATGGGGGTCGCGGGCTAAAAACTTTGGGAACCCCTGACCTAACAGAGCGCTCTGTGTTGAATCTGCAGTCACATGACCTCGTGTACAAACAAGATCTGATTTTCATAACATTTGAATATTGTCGTTGTGTAAAAACCTGGCTCTGTGTAGATTCAGATCAGAGAAAGATCACAGCTGCTGCGTTAGCACGAACCAGTGTGGAGCATGATCATAACACGACAGGCTGTGGTCTGTGCAAGGGGAGGCAGGCAGGTTTATTTGTGTAGCACAGTTCATACACCTCAGAGTCCCAGCAGGAGGCCAGTCCCTGTGCTCCTCAGAGTCCCAGCAGGAGGCCAGTCCCTGTGCTCCTCAGAGTCCCAGCAGGAGGCCAGTCCCTGTGCTCCTCAGAGTTGGTTCATATGTCACTAACATGTCACAGATGTATTTGGTGTGTGGTCATGGAGAGAGAGACAGATATGAAACTGCTGTGTCCAAATCAAATCAATAAATATAAAAATGAAAATCCTGATCAGAATCAAAACCCACACAAGTAAACACAGCTTTTTAATATTCTGGCTTTTATTCAGGTCGATGTTTTAATCCGATTGAGGTCACTAGAACTGGAAATGTATTTTCGTGTGTCGTACGAGTCCTGAAAGTTGAAAGAGCTGAAGCTACAGGAGCTGCTTTGTTTCAGCTCATTGTTCAGTGGATTTATTTGGAAATGCAGCAGTTTGTCACATCATCAAAAGTCTGCGTTTGTTCTGGAATGATCCGTCTGTCTCTGATTGTTTCATTCCATCTCGTTCGTACCTGGAATCGCTCATAATCCTCAGGTAATCCTCATCGCGCTGTGTCCGGGGCTGCATCCAAATCCAACCAAACGACCTCCCTTTTCCTGCTTCTCCTTTGTGTTTTTTACGTTTGAGGAGTTCAAGGTTTAGTCCAGGGGTCGGGAACCCAAAATGTTCAAAGAGCCATAATTGACAAAAAAACTAAAAACAACATCTGTCTGGAGCCACAAAAAAATAACAGCCTTGTATAAGGCTTTTATGAAGGTAACACAGGCTGCAAGATGTATTAGCTATATTAGCCTAATATCTAAATGACAAAGTAAAGGCTACAAATACATAATAATCATTCATGATTATCAAATGTGTATTTTCACTGCAGCGTGTCGCACCACGCGTGTCGTGAATGACGCAACACGTGACGACTCTGCTTTAGTTTAACTTCCATTTTTTTGCCTTCATGCAATTGTAGAAATACAGTAAATCAATCTGCTTTGGGCTCAGAGGTCACATACCTGCATCACTGTCTGCTCATATCCATCACGTCACAGGCTTTTTTGAAGTCTGAAAATAGGTGCTCTGAATTTTTGATGAATGAATCCTTCATGTAATCACTGTGTACGGTGTTTTTCGCGTCATTGTTCCTCGTGTTGCAACAAAACTTCTCATTACAAACATGAAGCAGTCCTTCCTCATTGACTGAAATAAAATGTTCGTTCTCATTCTTAGTCCAGTCTTGTTATCGACTCGTTCTCGTTTTAGCTTTGGGATCCATGTGCACGTCTATGATGCTCACACGCCGGTTTGTTTACAACAGCGGCCGCATGGGGCGGGGCCGCGTGACCGCGCGTCATAGGATATGACGCACTACGTTGACAGAAATGTTGAAATTAAATATTACTTATACACATTTTTACAGCATTTAAAAACGTAAAGATTGTTTTTCCTTCTACAGAAACCACATTCAAACTAGAAATAAAATATAGCCCTCACACTCCATTTTCAGACATGTTTGAAAAGGCTCCAGGAGCCACTCCAGGAGCACTCAAGAGCTGCATGCGGCTCCAGAGCCGCGGGTTGCCGACCCCTGGTTTAGTCCAATGTTTGTTCAGTGAAGTGTAGAACATCTGTAAATATGATTTTAGGATGTTTTAGACACGGAGATGGGGAGGTGGCATTGGAATGTAACTGCAGTTATCATTTTGGTAAATCATGTGTGGCTAAATTATATATTGCATGCAAAATTAACTTTGGTGCCAGGAGGTCTGGAGGGGAGTGGGCTTTAAGGATGCTGATGGAGAAGGCCTTGTCACACTGTCCTTTTGTTGTCTGTTGGTTCCTTTTCCTGTGGAAGGTGTTTCTTATCTCCTGATATACTGCTTTGCTGCTGGACTAAGGTCAGACCAGTGGGGGCGGGTCCCGGTTCTAAAGTGGCCAAAATGACGTGCGCTGAGATACTGCAATACCACCCCGGGCCGATGGGGGTGGACCCGGAATAATGCTAACATATAGCATTGGCAGACCTCTCTAAAACGTCTTTACAGGATGGTCCAAAAGCTCCGTTCCACATGTGTGTCAATGCTGAGGGGGGTGTTTTGGACCAGTCTAGTTTACTTGCTGTGAATTTTTGAAGTCACGCGTTTAAATGAATGGAGCTGTGCCGGCTGACGCATGCGCAGATGCGTTTTCTCACAATTTTCTTGTGGGCGGGACCACTCGTGGCCATTTTGGATTGCTCCAGTAGAGCACTATTTTTGGCCCATTAGTTAGAACGGCGGAGATAGGCGTGACTCTGTCCGTTAATATATAGTCTATGGGTCAGACATGTTTCTGGACACGAGGCTGAGCTGAGCAGTGCTCTTTTTCTACAGACTGTCTCCCTGGAAGGGCAACCAAGTATTAAAGAATGCCTGAACCATGTCTTTCGTGCATGTGACTTTGTCAGAATTGAGTGTAAATTGTCAATGTTTAGAAAGAGACAAAGTAAAAAATAATAAAAAAACTGAATGATCCATGTCCAACTTCTTTACAAACTCTAGGGACAGAAAAGGTGAGAGAATGTATTGGAAGGGGGTGGAAGAGAAGGAGGAGGAAGAAGAGGAGGAGGGAGAGGAGGAGGAAGGAGATTGGTTCTGCTCCAGATCCCAGTCAGAGTTACTAACGGAGCGCGAGGTCCGTACAGAGAAATATCAGACCGCGGCCTTAATGTGCAAAAAGGCCAAGGTCTGATATTTCTCTGCACAGACCGAGCAAGCGAGGTTAATAAATGTTTTATTATATGACTCTCGTCTGTGTCTTTACCAGTGCTTTTGAGATATTTGTGAAGTATGTTCATGTCCGACTTGGTTTTCCTTATCGTGTTTTTAGTGTGATGCGGACAGATTGTCATGGTAACGGTCCGAGGAAAGATATCAAATATGATACACGCTGTTCGGACCAATTGTCATGGTAACGGTCAGAGATGGGAAAATATCAGACCGGTAATCAGCCAATCAGAGCGCGCGTACGGTCCAAGTCATATAATAACGTAGATTATAACATGAACCAACTCTGAGGAGGGACTGGCCTCCTGCTGGGACTCTGAGGAGCACAGGGACTGGCCTCCTGCTGGTCCCAGAGTCAGGACTGAACATGAGGAGGCAGCGTTTCAGATTTATGGAGTAAAAATCTGGTACAATCTTCCTGAAAATGTGAGACAGGCTTATCCGGGTTAAAAACAGTTCTGCACCGTGATTATTTCTGACATTAAAGTCTTCCGTCTTGTTTCCTTCAGCCCTGTGCCTTGTGTATGAACTGTGCCATACAAATAAACTTGCCTTGTGTGATATTGTGTCCTTAAAAAGTGTCCAGAGCTGCAGCGATTATCCTCTGCCTCTGCACCATCACGGCCCGCTGCCTCCATCCCAGACTCAGAGTGTGTTTACCAGTCCTGCCTCCCCCCTCTCCCCTCCTTCCTCCCCTCCACCCCCCCCCCCTCCTCCCTGCTGATGTCTGTGTGCGATGGGAGGCGGGCTGTTTTTCCGAGGAGCTAGAAGTGGGTTTTTAATGATGCGTCTGAGTGACTGGAGCTGGAGGAGAGTGTTATTGGGATGAGGCTGAAATCAAAGTGAGGGAGAGCGGCTGCAGCGGAGGGCTCGTACGTTGGTCTGTAGCTGTGCTCAGGCCGCAGATGCATGGACCTGCGTTCACTATAAGTATGAGCTGCATGAGTTTAGTCAATCTGATGTACTGCTGTGTTGGGAAAAACTCAGGGCGGGAGTGGATGGCCGGAGCCTAGATGCTAACGCCGGTACTTTCATATCAGCGAACACTTTAGCAGCACTTGTTTACAGTCACAGTAGAAACTCAGAGAATTTACACAGTAGGCGTAAACAGCGCGTACGCGTTGACTGTACACACATGTGCGTAACATTATTTGGGTGTATCTACACTGGCCGTGGCGTCTGATGCTGTCCTTGTGGAGTCTATGGTGAAGTGTAGAGGACAGTACGGGCCAGAGGACTGTCATACGTCCGTCATACGTCCCTCATACGTCCCTCATACGTCCGTCATACGTCCGTCATACGTTCCTCATACGTCCGTCATACGTCCCTCATACGTCCGTCATACGTCCGTCATACGTCCGTCATACGTCCGTCATACGTCCGTCATACGTTCGTCATACGTCCGTCATACGTTCCTCATACGTCCGTCATACGTCCGTCATACGTCCGTCATACGTCCCTCATACGTCCGTCATACGTCCGTCATACGTCTGTCATACGTCCGTCATACGTCCGTCATATGTTCCTCATACGTCCCTCATACGTCCGTCATACGTCCGTCATACGTCCGTCATACGTCCCTCATACGTCCCTCATACGTCCGTCATACGTCCGTCATACGTCCTTCATACGTCCGTCATACGTCCGTCATACGTCTGTCATACGTCCGTCATACGTCCGTCATATGTTCCTCATACGTCCCTCATACGTCCGTCATACGTCCGTCATACGTCCGTCATACGTCCCTCATACGTCCCTCATACGTCCCTCATACGTCCCTCATACGTCCCTCATACGTCCGTCATACGTCCGTCATACGTCCCTCATACGTCCCTCATACGTCCGTCATACGTCCCTCATACGTCCGTCATACGTCCGTCATACGTCCCTCATACGTCCGTCATACGTCCGTCATACGTCTGTCATACGTCCGTCATACGTCCGTCATACGTCCGTCATACGTCCGTCATACGTCCCTCATACGTCCCTCATACGTCCCTCATACGTCCGTCATACGTCCCTCATACGTCCCTCATACGTCCCTCATTCGTCCCTCATACGTCCCTCATACGTCCGTCATACGTCCCTCATACGTCCCTCATACGTCCCTCATACGTCCCTCATACGTCCCTCATACGTCCCTCATACGTCCGTCATACGTCCCTCATACGTCCGTCATACGTCCGTCATACGTCCCTCATACGTCCCTCATACGTCCCTCATACGTCCGTCATACGTCCCTCATACGTCCGTCATACGTCCGTCATACGTCCCTCATACGTCCGTCATACGTCCGTCATACGTCCGTCATACGTCCCTCATACGTCCCTCATACGTTCCTCATACGTCCCTCATACGTCCGTCATACGTCCGTCATACGTCCCTCATACGTCCGTCATACGTCCGTCATACGTCCGTCATACGTTCCTCATACGTCCGTCATACGTCCCTCATACGTCCCTCATACGTCCCTCATACGTCCCTCATACGTCCCTCATACGTCCGTCATACGTCCCTCATACGTCCCTCATACGTCCGTCATACGTCCGTCATACGTCCGTCATACGTCCCTCATACGTCCCTCATACGTCCCTCATACGTCCCTCATACGTCCGTCATACGTCCGTCATACGTCCGTCATACGTCCCTCATACGTCCCTCATACGTCCGTCATACGTCCCTCATACGTCCCTCATACGTCCGTCATACGTCCCTCATACGTCCGTCATACGTCCGTCATACGTCCGTCATACGTCCCTCATACGTCCGTCATACGTCCGTCATACGTCCGTCATACGTCCGTCATACGTCCGTCATACGTCCCTCATACGTTCCTCATACGTCTCTCATACGTCCGTCATACGTCCGTCATACGTCCGTCATACGTCCCTCATACGTCCGTCATACGTCCGTCATACGTCCGTTATACGTTCCTCATACGTCCGTCATACGTCCCTCATACGTCCCTCATACGTCCCTCATACGTCCGTCATACGTCCGTCATACGTCCCTCATACGTCCCTCATACGTCCGTCATACGTCCCTCATACGTCCCTCATACGTCCGTCATACGTCCGTCATACGTCCCTCATACGTCCGTCATACGTCCGTCATACGTCCGTCATACGTCCCTCATACGTCCCTCATACGTCCGTCATACGTCCCTCATACGTCCGTCATACGTCCCTCATACGTCAGTCATACGTCCGTCATACGTCCCTCATACGTCCCTCATACGTCCGTCATACGTCCGTCATACGTCCCTCATACGTCCCTCATACGTCCCTCATACGTCCCTCATACGTCCGTCATAGGCGTGTATAACACTAGTAGTGTAAATATGCCCATTTGTTCACATGGAAAAATGTTACGTGCGTCTGCTGCGCGTATAACGCGTACGTGCTGTAACGCCTCCTGTGGACATTAGCAGTTAGGGTGAAGACATGAGTTCACAAGCTCTGACCTCCGTTGTTAGTCCTGGTTTAATCCTGGTTCAGTCCTGGTTTAGTCCTGGTTTAGTCCTGGTTTAGTCCTGGTTTATCTCTTGTTTTGGTTGTTTTCGAGTGTGTTCGTTTTCCTGTTTGGACCGGCATATGTCCCCGTGACCCCTTTGCTGCTCTCTGATTGGTTGATACATTATTATAATGCTAATATGTCAACACGGCTGCCGTATCATGAAGTCAATGACACGCCAGCCGTGTTCACATATTAGCATTATAATAATAAATCAGTTCTGGGACCAGAACAAATGTCTTAAAGGTCCTGCGTGTCTCCTGAGACGCTGCTGAGACATGTGTCCTCCCCACACTCACATGTGACATCACTTACGCCGCTTGCTCTGATGATGAGCTCTAAACCCTATTAAAGCTAATCCTCCGTCACACATCTGTATGAGCCTAAAAACATGTACTGGTGACTGTACTGGCGAACTCACTCTGTCTCTGTGTGGATTGTAAAGCGCTTTGTGACTCTGGTCTGTGAAATGTGCTGTGTGTAAATGAATATTACTTACTTACTTACTACATTTCCACATTTTTCCCAGGGCTGCAGGAATAGCTTTCTGCCTTTAGCGCCCCGGGAAAGTAGCTCTCTGGGTGAAAGAGGATTCAGTCACCTGCTTTACTAACTCCTCCATCTTTGTCTTATTCAGATAAAGATGAAGAGAGAGATTCTTTACTGGTCCCAGAGAGAGGAAAGTTCAGTGTTGCATCATCAGGTACACAACAATAGGAGTCAGGATTACACAGTATAAGATGAATGAACAATAACTCTATATCAAAATAGAATAAAAACTAACTTTTGCATAAAAAGGAGGAAATAGTGTATATTCCAGTGTAATAAATGTATATGTGTAAGTCTGCGTGGGTCCATGTTAGCTTCATGAGGCTCTGTATGCGTCCTGGATCATTGCTTCTGTTCCTCTTTAATAACAAAACTGGAACCGGTTCAGAACCTGTGCAGATCTTTGGGCGATTGATATCTCTTTAATTAAAACTGGGGGAAAAGATCTGGCTCCGAAGTCTTTTACGATCGGATCAGTTCAAACGGCTGCGACTTCAGTGTTCTTCAGCGTCCATCCACCGTCTTTGTCTCTAAAAACATTCTTTATTTCCCTCTAAGTTTAAAGTCCAGTCGACGGATCACGTTTCACACGGATCGCAGCAGATTAGATTATGAACTCAGATTGAACTGTTACCAGGCAACAGCAGAGCCCAGGTGCTGTGGTCCCCGATAGACCGAGGGAGATCCACACTGGACAGTCCTGGTCTGGGCTGGGGGCAGACCGAGGGACCTCGAGGTGACATGGAACCGGTGGGATCGAGATTATTTTGCAGTGAATCCAAAGAGAAAAAAGGAGATGTTGCATTAGTTGTGTGTGTTTTGGAGTTCTGACCTCGGACAAATCCATTAAATAAATCTCTTGATTACTTGATCCCTGTTGGAGAAAGGCCGGTGTCCAGTAGCAGCAAAAACACATCCATCCAAACAAACAAAACTAATAGCTCATTCTAAAAATCTCACTATAATAATAATAACATCAGTCCTTCAGGTCTCAGCAGCAGGAGCTGCTTGTTTCGTACCATTTTCTCTGCTCTGGTCCAAAGTAAAATGCTAAATGCTTCATTAGCAAAAAGTTAGCATTCCTCCAGTGGATTTTCACCTGATCCACTTGGTTCGGACCATGAATCCTCTCTGCTCTGGTCTGGACCAGTGTAAAACCATGAATCCTCTCTGCTCTGGTCTGGACCAGTGTAAAACCATGAATCCTCTCTGCTCTGGTCTGGACCAGTGTAAAACCATGAACACTGAACTGCAGCAACATCTCAGGCAGAAAAAAGCAAGAAAAATAACAATTGTAAAACACAGAACAACAGTTTCAGAGACACTCAGGACTCGCTGCTGTTTCCAGAACATTCTAAAGTAAAAGTTAAAGTATGTAGTGTCGTTAAATGGGGTTTCTGATGATCCTGAAGGAGATAGGAGCATTGTGCTGGAACTCTAGCCTCCACCAGCAGCTCCCGCAGAGTTTGGCTCAGTCTGAGTCGGATAAGTCCAGTCCACTTCTGGTTCTTAGAGGCAGGTGTCTGAGCTGGAGCATGACCACCTGCTGCCCTGGAGCACAGCACGAGTTCTGAACCAACAGACTGAGGTAGATGTCCCAGCCGCCCAACAGGAAAACCTCTCCCTGCTTCCAGAGCTTCTTTACCGTGTTTTAGTGTCCTGCGCCGGGACATGATGTGGTTTAACGTCACACCTGTATAGAAACCTGGATCCAACTGTCTTGTATTGTCAATAAGTCTCGTCTCTAATAACGTCCTGTGTCCTGAATGATTAAGAATGTCGTTTTTGCTCTTCCCTCCTCAGTGTTTGCTTCAGTTCATGAACAGACCATAAGAAATGTGACTTATTGTTCTACATTTTTGTAACGTCCTTGAATTATACGAGGGACATGAATCGCAATATATCGCAGAATCAAATCCCAATACTGCCTGTATTGCGATATGTTAAAGGAGCAGTTTTTTTAAATGTGGCCAAAAGTGGTACTGCAGCCTCTCCCACTCTCCGTGACTCAGGTTGCCAGATATGCAGACGAATCCAGCTGGGACCATAACAGCTGAATAGACAAGAGTTTTGTCAACAACAAATCTATAACCAACACCTTTTTCACAAAGATAGAAATCCTGGTTAATGATTTGAGAATCATAACGAGACCATTTTTAGTTCTGCGCCACATGGTACTTTACCAGGGAGATTAACTCCACGCGGTGAGTTCTGGTGCCCGGATCACAGACTTTCTGATTGGTGAAACGGTGGAGGGCGGGACATCGAAATGAAAACAATAACAAGATTTAGGGTCTGGAAAAGTAATTTAGAAATTCAAATATCTCTGAACTACTGTTATCAGTTAAAGAAGTATTGGAAAAGAGCAGTTTATTATTATGACAGATTAGGGCCCTTTAATGATGAAAGATTAGGGCCCTTTAATGATGACAGATTAGGGTCCTTTAATGATGACAGATTAGGGCCCTTTAATGATGACGGATTAGGGTCCTTTAATGATGACAGATTAGGGCCCTTTAATGATGACAGATTAGGGTCCTTTAATGATGACTCGACATGAAAATCTTACAAATTGCAATTTCACGGGATGTCAACATTTACAAGATTCAGGCTGTATATTCTGTAATGTACGGGTGATTCTTTTTAGGACCATCTGTGTAAAAATGTCCATAAATGTCCCGTATCATCATAACCCCAGACCTTTCTGCTCTGGCAGGAGAAGGAGCTGGTGAGGAGCTGTGCAGGTTGAATTTGGATGCAGCCGTCACAAGTGAACTGTGCAGCCGCAGACAGAAATCCGCTCCAGATTATCCCTAATGTTTGTGGTGCAATCATTGTGTGTCGCGACTTTAAATCTCACAAGACAAAAGCTCCTGTCATCTGTGGCCGGCTTTATGTCCTCTTTAGAGTTAGTAAAACATGAAGTCATCGGAAGAGTTAGAGTTGTTTTTGTCGATGCAGGAGGTTCTAAGGATAGAGATTATCCAGATTCATTTGCCATTTACAGTAAAACCACATTGGAATACATTTGCTAAAGTCCCCAGTGCGCACAAGACAAGTACATACATAAAACCGGGCTAAAAGTACAGGAATAAAACAAAATTGTCTTTGTTCAAATTTATAACCGCTTGTGGAAAGAAGCTCTTCTGCCAGAGGGAAGAAGCTGGAACATGGCTTTTCCGCGGCGGCCAGAAGAGTCATTGATTATTCTAAACAGTGGCTGAGTGGATAGAACTCCCCCACTTCTCAGCAAGAAGGTCCTGGGTTCGAATCCCGGTCGGAACAGGGCCTTTCTGAGTGGAGTTTGTATGTTCTTCCCGTGTCTGCGTAGGTTTCCTCCGGGTGCTCCGGTTTCCCCTACCACTAAAAACATGCACAATAGTCAGATTGTAAATGAGAGAGTGAATGGATGGTGTTGGAGCTGATGGTCCAGTGTGTTCTGGACTCGCTTCTGTCATCACCGTGTGTGGAATGATTAGAACAATATCTTACTCTGAAAATTGGAAAGTGCTTTGGGTGACCTTGGTCTGTAAAATGCGCTATATAAATAAACATTACTTAATTATTTACTAAACATTCTACAATATTTATCGACATTGGTCTCTGCTTCTTAAGCACCGATGGCTCTATGTGTTTTTTATCACTGTGTTTCTTGTGTTTGAAGGGAATAATAATCAACATTCAAATATTATGACTGCTAAATGTGATTTGACTAAGGCTGTAGATCCAGGACTGAGGCTGTAGACCCAGGACTGAGGCTGTAGACCCAGGACTGAGGCTGTAGATCCAGGACTGAGGCTGTAGACCCAGGACTGAGGCTGTAGACCCAGGACTGAGGCTGTAGATCCAGGACTGAGGCTGTAGACCCAGGACTGAGGCTGTAGATCCAGGACTGAGGCTGTAGATCCAGGACTGAGGCTGTAGATCCAGGACTGAGGCTGTAGATCCAGGACTGAGGCTGTAGATCCAGGACTGAGGCTGTAGACCCAGGACTGAGGCTGTAAATCCAGGACTGAGGCTGTAGACCCAGGACTGAGGCTGTAGACCCAGGACTGAGGCTGTAGACCCAGGACTGAGGCTGTAGACCGTGGCCAGTCCTCTGTGTCATTACCGCGGCTTTAGAGTTTAGCTGCCACAGTTTAATGGCGGCTAAATACAGTTTAGCTTCTCCGCGGTCGGCCGACAAATGAGACTCACAACAGTAATTGTAGCTTGTACACAACAGAGACATGATTGACACTCTGTGGATAAATGCTGTTTTTTTTTTCTTTACATCTGATAATTCTGGGTTTACCGTCGACAGCAAAGTCTCGAGGGAAAGCAGAGGGAAATAATTGTCGGCTTCAACAGTATCGGTTCGTGTATGTGCAGGAGGTGTTGTGCTCCAGCCCTGTATTCTATTACAGAGGATAAAAGATATTAGTAGGAAGCACCGTACTGTCTTGAAATATAAGATGCACCTGTGTATAAGCAGCAGCTGTATATAAGCAGCACCTGTGTATAAGCAGCACCTGCATGTAAGCAGCAGCTGTATATAAGCAGCAGCTGTATATAAGCAGCAGCTGTATATAAGCAGCACCGGTATATAAGCAGCAGCTGTATATAAGCAGCACCGGTATATAAGCAGCACCGGTATATAAGCAGCACCTGTATATAAGCAGCATTGGTATATAAGCAGCGCCTTTGTATATAAGCAGCGCCTTTGTATATAAGCAGCACCTGTATATAAGCAGCGCCTTTGTATATAAGCAGCACTGGTATAAAAGCAGCACTAGTATATAAGCAGCTCCTTTAAACTGTATAAGCAGCACCTGTATATAAGCAGCACTGGTATATAAGCAGCGCCTTTATATAAGCAGCACCTGTATATAAGCAGCTCCTTTAAACTGTATAAGCAGCACCTGTATATAAGCAGCATTGGTATATAAGCAGCGCCTTTGTATATAAGCAGCGCCTTTGTATATAAGCAGCACCTGTATATAAGCAGCGCCTTTGTATATAAGCAGCACTGGTATAAAAGCAGCACTAGTATATAAGCAGCTCCTTTAAACTGTATAAGCAGCACCTGTATATAAGCAGCACTGGTATATAAGCAGCGCCTTTATATAAGCAGCACCTGTATATAAGCAGCGCCTTTGTATAAGAAACACCTGTGTATACGCCGCCCCTTTATATAAATGGTATAAAAGCAGCATCTGTTGAGGCGACAGTGGCTCAGTTGATAGACTATTGGCCTTTGAGCCTAAAGGTTGTGGGTTCGATCCCACCTCAAGACTTTCTCCACCGACTCCCACTGTCTGCTGTCGTTGTGTCCTTGAGCAAGACACTTAACCCACTGTGTTTGGAGTGAATGAATAATGACGAATAATAATGTGAAGCGTCTTTGAGTGTCCAAAAAAGCGCTGTATAAAACCGATGCATTATTATTATTATTATTATTATTATTAATGTTAGTGAAGCAGATGAATCCACGCTGCATGATCATCTGTGACTCTTCAACATGAGTCCTGTGCCGTCTCGTGCTTTAAACCTCTGATAGCGTCTGTGGTGAAGACGTTTCTTCGTGCGGCTAATTGACGTCTGCTCTTCATGTTCCAGAGACAGAGAGAATAAAACATTAGACTTGCTTCATGAAACGGCGCCGGGTTTTAAGTGCGAGTAGTTGTAGCGAATGCAAAGTGACGATGGGGTTTGGAGAAAGTTAATGAGCTGAAAAAACATCTGCAGCTGCTTCAATGACATCACTGACCAGAGAGAGAGACCAGAGAGAGACCAGAGAGAGAGACCAGAGAGAGAGACCAGAGAGAGAGACCAGAGAGAGAGACCAGAGATAGACCAGAGAGAGAGACCAGAGAGAGAGACCAGAGAGAGAGACCAGAGAGAGAGACCAGAGAGAGAGACCAGAGAGAGAGACCAGAGAGAGAGACTAGAGAGAGAGACCAGAGAGAGAGACCAGAGAGAGAGAAGAGACCAGAGAGAGACCAGAGAGAGAGAGAGACCAGAGAGAGAGACCAGAGAGAGAGAGACCAGAGAGAGAGAGACCAGAGAGAGAGACCAGAGAGAGAGACCAGAGAGAGAGAGAGACCAGAGAGAGAGACCAGAGAGAGAGACCAGAGAGAGAGACCAGAGAGAGAGACCAGAGAGAGAGACCAGAGAGAGACCAGAAAGAGAGACCAGAGAGAGAGACCAGAGAGAGAGACCAGAGAGAGCGAGAGAACAGTGATAAAACACATCCTGGACACATCTTTTCAGTCTTTTTAAAACAAAAGTATTTCCTCTCAATCAGATTTTCTCTTGTCATATTTCTTCCCGTCAGGTTTCAGAATCCGCCCCTCGCTCCTGGACGTGTTTTAGACGTTTGCAGCGGACAGAGACTGACCAAAAGTGAAATCTGACGTCTCTGGGGGAGGTTGTCTCCGTTTCTAATCCCCGCTTCAGCCTCAGACCCACTTTCTTAAATTACGACATACACGTAATCTGGCCTCGCAGACGCCAAAACCACGGCACAGACCCCCGGCTTAGCACAAGCAATCTTCATCCTGGAATTATCACAGATTATATCCTCATATTATATTCTGGGGACGCTTTATGTTGTGTTTTGTGACGATGGAAGCAGAACAGAAAGTAAAAAAAATATGAAAATCTAACCTGTGTGCTGTCCGTTTTTTGTTTTTT